AGTCGCGGTCAAAATAATCCCGCCGTGAAGGGGTTAAATGCATCATTTGCGCACCTGTGACGTACAAATGAGTTTGCAGATGTCATCACCAGAGTCAAGGCAATGAGCGAGCCATGCCCTCAACAGTTCCTGTGCATATCTCAAGGCTGCCTCTCTCCTGCCAACAGACACTGTCTGGCTAGCTGAAGATGCTAGGGTCAACAAAGGGGTAGGCGGTGAAGGAACCCAGTTTGTTACCCTCCTTGTCATAGTGGAGCATCCTGAAGCACTTCTCGCAGAAGAAACTGGGATCGATGCTGGAGAAGCTGTCCCCCACTGTTTTCCATCTGCCCAATATAAGACAAGGAAATAAAGAGAAACTCCAATAATGGTCAACTGGACTATTTGTCCAACAGATGGCCATTTTGCAAACCCCCGCTTGTGGGCTTCAGCATCATTCCCGGTTGAATAATACTTAGTATTCTTCGGTGGCCAAACCAAAACGAAATAATTTAATTTATGGCCTCAAAACCAAGGGTTGATGTTCCTGAAAACAGACTGGTTCCCAGTCCCTTTTGTATATTCTAGACTTTAAAAGGAAAAAAGAGGAAGGAGCCAATCTGTACGGACATAACTTGTTGGTTTGCCTGCTAGTTCTAATCTTTGGAAATTACTGAATCCTCGTACACCCAAACACTAAGCCTCCCCAAACTGAGAATGACATTTGAAATTTAACCAATCTGTCTAGCACACAACAAATGGAAATACTCACTTGGCAGTATAAATGTTGCAACAGGTGCAGAGGATGCGTTTCCAGTAAGGTTTGTGTATCAGTACTGGGTATTTGCTGAGGTCTTGAATATCAGTGTTAGTGAGCAATCTGGACGGGAAAAAGGACAAAGTTTCTATCGAAAAGTTGCCTCTTGAGATTTTTGGACATATTCTCAAAGATTACGAGAGTAGCTTCACCCTTTTTTCACATAAAAATTATCCTCTAAGATTCTTTACAAACCTACCGGATTTGAAGGATTTTCTTGAATGGAAGAAGGTATACTAGTAACTTACATGCAAAATGATGATTCCTGAAAATTTAAGACCCACAAAATGTGTCACTTTTTTCTCGCAAAGTGGTAATTTGAGAGATTTAAAAGCTGCTTGCAAGAATGCTGAGAGGGGATTAGTTTTTAAAGATTCAGCAATTGATTCTCTCACTTAAATCATTTTTCTTTTCTTTTTCAAGTGAATTCTGTATGCTTCCTGGCAAAAAACCATGCACGAGACGATTACGAGACTATGCTTCATTGACATGCACAGACAATATAACAGGCCTAGGCATTATAACATATGAGAAATCACAATGCTTCTCTGAGAAACTGTCGTTGAACAAAACTGAGATTACAAAAAAGGAAAGGCACACACAACAAATCTCAGGTTTCCGTTACCTGAGATCGGTGAACACCATGATGTGTTGGCAGTTCCCCACATGGCAGTACAAGTAGGGATAGCCTAGCCTGATGTCCAGGTCATTAAATGTCACATCGTCCATGGACTTGGAATACGTGGTTTTCTTGGGTTTCATCCAGTCTGTGACGACCCTGGGGAAAAAAGCAATCCAAGAAAAAAAATGTCTAGGCTCCTAGTCACTATTTAAAAGCACTGTGCAAGACAATCTTAGCAGGGGGGTTCAATCTTTGTACTGTGCATCCACATCTGTGCATGAGGACTGAGGAATCACTGTGAGGGTTAAGCAGTACATTGCTGTATTGTCTTCACACAGTCCAAGGGCATCTGCAAAATTGTACTTCAGTGCAGAATTCTCATTATGCAGCCTTTGAAGAAGAAGTCAAATAACCAATCCTTCCAATAATCTGGGGCCCAGTGGAAAGTGGAGCTGGGCAAAGGAGTTTGCTGAACAAAGAAAAATTGGTCAGCATAAGGTTACCAGCCCAAATGCAGTGAATTCCAATAACGGCTGTTTTGCTTTGGTGCAGTCCTGCCCAGACCTCTTTCAATGTCAGTTAAATCTCTTACTGTTCAGTTCCATAACTCAGTCTTTTGAACCCAATGAATGGGCAATCTTTCTTCCACCAGTCCTTCACCGTGCAGAGCTACAAGGCACATAGTGTACAACAGCTGTCCGGTTGTGGTGATAGGATATAATTGGCCAGTGTTTTTACCCAACCATGGCTACTTTGCCAAAGGACACATTTCTTAATTTCACATATAATGTCAGTTAAATCAACAAGAGAAGTAAACAAGTTAACAATCGAAGACAGTGCAGACTCCATTTTTTTAATTCATTTATCACTTTGTAATCCAAACATCTGAACTGTAATGTATTGTATATTTCTTGTTACCGATTCCTGGCAGTCTTCTCTGATTTGCGACCACCTGACATGTGGCCCTGCTGTGAGGGCATGTTGACATGATAACCAAACTACATACTGGCTCAAATCTCGGCTGAGGGGATCTCGGCGGTCATTGTAGAAGGTGTCCTCGATCAGGAAGTATGAGGACTTGTACACGTCCTGCTGCTTGACATCCTGGGGGGCGTCAGGGACCTGACTGTACTCGCCTGACGCCACTGACATGTCGGCTGCACAGATGATCTTGTCCCTCAGTGCCGTAAGCTTCTGGTCCGCCAAGACTAGCAGCTCTCGGTCAATGAAAGTGGGTCTGTAGACATTTTTCAGATGCTTTTGGGAAGAATTGGGGACCAGGTATTTTACTCTTGTGGAAGATTTATAAAGGATTAAAGGACAAACGTCTTAACTCCAGCCCATCCTTGCAAGATCTTGTAGAGTTTTTAACCCTCAATCCTTTGGCATTCATTCTAGGAATATTCCCGAATCCTTGAAAATCCTCCACTGTGCAAGAACCAATGGTACATGTCTTCAAACCTATAACTTTTCCTGAGGAATCAAGCCCAACGTAAAAATAGGCCTAAATCTAACTAGGGTAAACTGCCCTGAATCCTGGAAAATATATCTCAAAGGAGTTTGAAAAATCTAGATGGGTTGGGGCTATAACATCCACAGTGGCAAAAAGGCAACAACTTAAACACACTTCACGGCATGAAGATCTTAAGGGTTCAGATTATGCGTAATTATTACCATTTTGTATTACTGATCACAGTTATCTCAATTTATTATTGAATACTCCAGTAAACTGTAAAGTGACACTGACATATCACCTTTTTGCAATATGGACTCAGTGTGAAACTGAAGCCCAATGAGGATAAGTGTTTAGAGCTGCTTACATGGATGGATTGTGATGCTCTGAACAATGTGACAGAGAGGATGGTCATTGGTTTCTTCACACAGACTTCCTCCTCTTGGTCAATGTAGGCACTGTAACATTCCTTGAAGGAAATGAGAAGCAAAACAGAACAAAAATGGGTAACCGGTTTGGGGGAACTAAAAGGCAAGAGTGTCATGAGCCAAGATTGTTAACAAAAGACAACTTTAGGATATCACTGAAACTCTGTCTTAAAATAGTGCTTTACGTTTTCTCATAAACAAACAGAATAAAATGGATTGAAACAGACACTGACATCTGCATGACCATATAAGAGTGGTACTGAATTTCATGACCTGGTTTGAGAATGTGGACGTCCCTGTCCGGTTGTCCTACGAGGCAAGTAAATAACAGCGTTATCCCATTGAGTTGTTCACAACTTGAAATAACACTCTTGTCTATGCAAGCCTCTGGCTACTGGCTACAACCACTTCCCATGACCCATGTGCTATCACTAGCCACAGCCACTTCATTTTGGACATGCAGTCTGATGCAGTCTTCAAGTCACTAGCCACAGCCACTTTAGTTTGGACATGCCGTCTGATACAGTCTTCAAGTCAAGTCACAGTTATTTTTGCTGACATAGGATGGCACCATGGAGTTGTGGGATGGCACCAAAAATTGTCCTGATATTTGTGACCCACTCTGCAAAAAAGGGTATTAAGTCACGCAATGTCAAAACATGTAATGGCCAGTTCTATTTAGAGAGGGCAAAATTTCTGCAAAAATGCGATTTTGTGTTCTTTCCTTTAATAGCTTCTATATTGTTTACATCTTCAGAATTTGTGACTACAAACATGGATACTGATGAATAAAGCGGAAAAAATTTATCAATCAGTAGGAAATTCTATATATAATTGTGTTTGCAAGCGCTACACTTTATGAGCTTTTCCTCAAAAAGTGTTTTTATTGAATCTGAAAATGTAGTGCAAATGTCTATGTATCTCTGGAACCCAGCCCACTGCAAGGGTCATTCATATATCAAATTGTAGCTTTTGATGTACAGAATCCAGCCATACCAAAAACTCATAACCTCAATCTCGCGACTTAGTACCCATTTTTCTAGAGTCGGTCACATTTGAGGAAAACACTGGAGCTCAGAATGGTGGATACACCAATCAAGCCAGCACAGTATGTTTTAAACAAGAAAACCTTGAGGGGGGGGGATAAAATTCAAATGTGCCCCTGACTTACTAGGTGCACGTCTGTCCTTCGAAATCGCTTCTCCACTTTCCTATATTTTTTGTGTCGTAATCTGGGGAGGCAGAACAATTAATCTGGCCATCAAAATGAAAATTTCTGTGAATGCACAAAGAAAAGTCCTATGTCGTACCTCTCAGTGAAGGTCGATGACATACTTATTCCTGAGAGCCTTGACAGTGCTGTTACTCATCACATGGCTTGAACTGAAGTCCCAAGTTACATGTTTATATTCATTTGCAACATTTTTCCTTCACAACTACACAATAATCAATACTGGAGTGTGCTTCCTAAAGGTTGCTGACATATGGGAACAGGCAGGGGTACGAAACGCAAGCTGTACACAGTAATAGAATGCTTCATAAACAACCTGTCTATGCAGGGCAGCATCGACCACTCAAACTCCTGCCTTTTTAAAGTGTCAGACTATGTATGTTGGTTTGAAGCCTCGGCATGCACAGGATGGTTGTAAGCTACAGGTATACACACTGACTGGTGTTTCTTTTGCTTAACCCCTTGACGACAGGAACTTTTTTCTGAAAGCCGACTCCGAGAATTCCAGCC